GTTTCAAAAATGCCTTCATGAAGCTTTTAACAGATCTCTAAGTGGTTAACATAACTCCTGAACAGTTAGGTGCTTCATCATAGAAGAATATTCTCAGAGGTTTGGTATTGACAAAGACTTACTAAATAATCTTCATCTACCCTTCCTAAGTTGTATGAATTCTAATGTCAAAAAATAAGAGTTATAGCCGGGCGTGGTGGCACACGCCTGTAGTCCCAGCACTTGGGAGGCAGAGGCAGGCAGATCTTTGTGAGTTCAAGGCCAGCCTGGTCTATATAGTGAGTTCCAGGACAGCTGGGGCTACAGGGAGACCCTACTTCAAAAAGACCAAAAAAAAAAAGAGTCGTAAGAGTCATAAAACTTACCGGTGAAGTGTGGGTGCGGAAGTCCATGGTGCACTTGCTATGGTGAGTGCTGCTGCATGTTAGTTCGTTCTTTGCTTAGGCATCTAAATGAAACTGAAAGTTTGAATTAAAATTAAATTCCTAGAATTTCATAGTGTATGAGGGATGCATACATTCTTATCTTAGTTTTGCTGATTATAAGTCAGAAAGACATCACTGAATATTTACCTGCAAAAAACTAGGTTTTGAATATTTTTTATGATTTAACATTTCAAAAACTATTCTGGTTAGAATGTTAAATGAAACTGATGAAAACTAAAATGAAAACAAGATGAAAACTAATTTAGTCTTTATTCTTTGGGGTTCTAAAATGTTCATATATTAACTATTTCTTGAAAGTCACAGGCCTAGTTTAGAACCTGAAAAGCAAATTTAAGATTTTCGTTCAGTAATATAATTGATTTGGGACTTCGTGTAGTATCACTGATACTCTTGTTAATGGGAATCTAATTTAGATACCCAGTAATTTCTGATGGATTAATGGCAGTGGGGTTGGTTCTTTCTTCCTCAGGACCTCTACTGCTTTGTTAGAACTTGTGCATCGTAACAGATTATGTTTTTACTATTAAGAATTGAGTGCTTAGAAAGATAACTTGAGCTCCTTTGATTTGATTTGCATTTGCTACTATTGTAATGAATGGTTGAAGGAATTTACTAGTATTTTATTTCCTTAACTGGTATTGTTTATCAAATTGGCATAAACTCTCCATACCCGATATGGGAGGCTGGCCTTTTGTACTGCATACCAGTCACCCACTGTTTGTATTATGTACCCTGACCTCATGGCTTCCTCGCTCCATCCTGTGGGCTGAGTGCTCTCTGCAGTGAGTCCTCTCTGAGTCATTAGCAACTGCCAGAAAGTGGGATGCACTGCCTGAGACATGGATTTGAGTGGTCTAGGAGTGAGTTCATGTAATAATGCTAAGCCTCAATATCCCTTTCAGTAAAACAGACTCAAGAACCAGACCTATCTTGCAAGGATTATTTAATAAACCAAATGAGTTTAATTCATTGAAAATACTTCACTTCAGTACTTGGCGTATAGAAATCCTCCC